CAAATCAAGATTTAATCAAGCACAAAGTCACTGAATTTAAAGGACATTTATATCACTAATTAATTTGCAGATCATATATATATATGTTTTAAGTTATTTATATATTTTTTTGAATATTTACTAATCATGATGCATATTGATTTATTTATACAGTTGTGTCCAAAATTATTCAACCCCAATGCTGTAAAGGGGTTTAGGGACTATAGTGTACATTTGGAATTGTATTCAGAATCAAATCCTACAAGGACGTTGTAACTACCCAAATGCAACTAAAATGACATCAATTGTTTATGTAATACAGTAGTAAATGGTTCTTATGTGGTTTCTTCATTGCCACAATTATTCAACCCCTTAAGACTACCACTCTGAAGAACAGAGGTTCATACAGGTGCTTTCCATCAGGTATTGAAAACACCTGTGGATGTCACCGAGCAGCAATCAAGCATAATAAGCACCAATTAGGCAGCTTTAAAATGACTGTGATACTCAGCTCCTTCTAGACATTTACTGGTGTGGTTACAAACATGGTGAAGGCAAGAGAATGGTCCAGGAAGACAAGAGAAGAGGTGATTTTCTCTTCACAGGAAGGGCAATGGCTATAAGAAGATTGCAAAGATGTTAAACATACCAAGAGACACCTTAGGAAGCATCATTCGCAAATTCAAGGCAAAGGGCACTGTTGAAACGCTACCTGGTCGTGGCAGAAAGAAGATGCTGACTTCGACTGCTGTGCGCTACCTGAAGCGTAGAGTGGAGAGAAGTCCCCGTGTGACTGCTGAGGAACTGAGAAAAGATTTGTCAGATGTGGGTACAGAAGTTTCAGCCCAGACAATAAGACGCACACTGCGTAATGAAGGCCTCCGTGCCAGAACTCCCAGGCGTACCCCCTTGCTGTCTCCAAAGAATAAGAAGAGTCGACTGCAGTATGCCAAAAGCCATGTGGACAAACCACAAAAGTTGTGGGATAGTGTTCTGTGGACTGATGAAACAAAATTAGAACTGTTTGGGCCCATGGATCAACGCTATGTTTGGAGGAGGAAGAACAAGGCCTATGATGAAAAGAACACCTTGCCTACTGTGAAGCATGGTGGAGGGTCAATCATGCTTTGGGGCTGTTTTGCTTCTGCAGGTACAGGGAAGCTTCAGCGTGTGCAAGGTACCATGAATTCTCTTCAGTACCAGGAGATATTGGATGGAAACGTGATGCAGTCCGTCACACACCTGAGGCTTGGGAGACGTTGGACCTTTCAACAGGACAATGATCCCAAGCATACCTCCAAGTCCACTAGAGCATGGTTGCAGAGGAAAGGCTGGAACATTTTGGAGTGGCCATCGCAGTCACCAGACTTAAATCCGATTGAGAACCTCTGGTGGGACTTAAAGAAAGCAGTTGCAGTGCGCAAGCCTAAGAATGTGACTGAACTGGAGGCCTTTGCCCATGAAGAATGGGCGAAGATACCCGTAGATCGCTGCAAGACACTTGTGTCAAGCTATGCTTCACGTTTAAAAGCTGTTATAACTGTAAAAGGATGCTGTACTAAGTACTAAGATTGAATGTCACTTGGGGGTTGAATAAAACTGATAATGCTGTGAGCACAGAAAAGACATTTGTGGTTATTTCATTATAACTGTTATGTTATATTTGTCTGACCTACAAGTGCCTTTTAATGTAAATGTAAGCAAGATGACTGAATGATCAAAAGCAATGTCAAACTGGCCAAAACACTCAATTTCAGTGGGGGTTGAATAATTTTGGACACAACTGTAGATATGTTATAGTACACATTATTTTATCACTTATTGTTTCTGGGGATATTATTTCCACATATATTAGTGGAAAATATATATGATTTTTTAGTAATATATATTTTTTATTTCTTGCACAATCACCGGACTATATATTTGTTTACCAAGGGTAAATAGAGTTATTTATATCACAGATATTTTCACTGGGAGCGCAACACAATATATACTTGTGCCTCCTTTGTATAGTGTCCCCAAAAAGGCAGTACTAGCAGGATCAGGATGAGGGTCGCCTGAGGGCCCGACGTCCTCTAGTGGGCCCTGTGCTCACTGCCCAGAACCATAGAACTCGATTGGCATTTGCCATTGGACACCAAAATTGACAGGTCCGCCACTGGCACCCTGTACTTTTCAAAGATGAGAGCAGGTTCACCCTGAGCACGTGACAGATGTGAAAGGGTCTGGAGAAGCCTTGGAGAATGTTATGCTGCCTGTAACATCCTTCAGCATGACTGCTTTGGTGGTGGGTCAGTGATGGTCTGGGGAGGCATATCTATGGAGGGATGCACAGATATCTACATGTTAGACAATTGCACCCTTACTGCCATTAATTATCACAATGAAATCCTTGGACCCATTGTCAGATCCTACGCTGGTGCAGTGGGACCTGGATTCCTCCTGGTGTACTCCAGCTGCAGCCATCAACCCAGCAGAGCCACTTCAACCCAAGGATGTACAGATACGTTCTAAGGGGTTGAAGTTATTAACTAGACATTTAAACATTTCTTGGGCCCCAGTGGAATGATCTAACCCCACACTTTCCCAGATATCAAAGTGTTCTGTCTCTCCAATCTAAGCATTGATAGTGTGATGTCTGTAACTTACAGTTGTGATGAGATAGAGACAACTTCAATCTCAGCTGGATACCACACTCAGTGACTCAATGAGAATGACATCTTGTAGATCTTGTGAAGTTTATTCCATAAACTGAGAGAATCTTACAACAATGAATATTCCATAGGTCAAAAGATCATACTGTTTCTGCTCCATGCTATGAGGCTTGCTGCAATCTCTGGGAAAGGGGGAGGGCTATCTATACAACATTAACTAAACCAAAGGAAAGTGAGGATCAGAGACAAAATATAGAAAACATTTAAAGGCATATGACAGTCAATATGACAGTCATGTGAAACATGACACAAAGGTTTGACTCATTTTTATGTATAGCGTTCCATATAATCTTGGAGTACTTAGCACAGGCAGGTGATAACAGGAATTACATAGATCAAACCTTGTCATTCTCTGCAGCAACATGGCCAGTCCAGTTTGGATGGAGTTGTCATTTAATAAGTTCTATCAAATGTACTTGTTTATGCTGACAAATTTACATTTTATTTTGCATCACAGTTTAACATTTTGAGTGATTAAAATGTAATGCTTATCTAAACCCTAAAATTAACTTTCTTAAATTTTTTAATACAGAAAATGATGACACCTGGCTGTATATTTTTATATAAAAAACAAACAACCCTTTTTGTTAACCCAAATATCTGTGCCAGTGCTTTCCCTGAAGAAGAAGAGCTAAAATCTTGTCTCAGGCGGATCCATGATTGCCAGGATGCTTATTACTAATATAGGCACAATGTAAAAGATTCAGGGATACACACATTTCTACTCTGGGGTTGTAAGCGTGGCTTACTAGTGCTGGAGGTGAATACATGTATTGAAAACTATATAGGAAGAGACCTAGACATCAGAGGAAAACATCTGAGCTTTACAACTCTTTTATTTGTGGAAAGACAATAGGTATGAGTTTCAGATTCTGGTCAAGCTCATGCTTTGCAGGGACAGAAAATTGATGCTGATTGCTGACAACTGCTATATTTACAATGATCATATGCACACTCACTGTGTATTGGACAGACCTGTAGCGGATAGGAATAGAGTGTTTGCTGCTGAAAAGTCCTATATTTACACTCAGTGTATGTTAAGAACACTTGAAGTAGATAGAGATAGATTTCACAGTGTTTTCAGAGACAGATAGCTTTTGCCATCCTATAAAATGTTGCTGAAAATTTCTGTATTTATAGTCAATGTATGTTGAAATGTCTCTTGGAGTAAATAGCAAGAGATCGCACAGTGTTTGCATGAAGAGACACTTTTTTTTGTGTTGTCAACAACTCCAGTTGCTGTTTAGCTACTGTGTCCCCTTTTGCTTTTTTTACTGTTTTATTGTTTTTTTTTCATATATATTTATGTTTGTTTCTTACTTACTTTTCAGTTAGACTATGGTTTAGTTACAGTGCTTAGCTACTGTGCACAGTCACTACAATATTTTGCTGTCTTTTTTAATTATTTAATTATTTTTTTTTAAATTTAATTAAAAAACAAATGTACATTTTTTTTAAAAAAACTTGGCTGATGTCTACCCTGTTCAAACTGTGGCCTCTTAAAAGTGCTTCCATATTGTGCACAGACTGCTATGTTTTTTCTGTGTAATATATAGACACAGTGCTCAGCATAAATGAGTACACCCCAACAGATTTGTCAGAAAACCTTTACTTTCCTTTCAGAATCACATTCACTATACTACAAAATACTCCCATAGATTTTGTTAATTTGCACACACAAAAAGTATTTTTCCTAACAAATTCATTCAAGACCATGTTGCAAAATGAATACACCCCAATGAATGTTTTAGGAGCAAAGCTAAATTTTAGACAAAAAAACCTAATTGACAAGAATTCAACTACAGGTGAGTCCAATTATTCATTAAACAGGTGTCCAGCAGACAATATAAAAGCGTGTTACTTAACAAAGAAAACCCTTTCCCATTTCATGCTGTCAGCAATGTCATCACATGGAAGAGAAATGTCATAAGGCATGAGAAAGAAAATAATTTCATTACACAAGAAAGGTGAAGGCTACAAGAAGATCAGCAAAGCTTTACTTATCAGTCAGAATACTGTAACAAAAGTGATACAAGAATGTAATACAGATGGAACTGCAACCATCTCAAAGAGATGTCCAGGCTGTCCACAGAAGTTAATACCTCGGCAGAAGCATCTTCTGAAAAGAAGGGTTGAAGAAAATCACTGTACAAGTTCGCTGCAGTTAGCTAAAAAAGTAGAAAGCCAAACTGTTTCCTGTGACACAATATGGTGTACACTGCAGAGGAATGGCATGCATGAGTGCATCCATGAAGGACGCCTCTGCTAAAGCTCATGCACAAAAAAGCCCACCTAGAACTTGTCCGGGCCCATGCTGAAAAAGAAAACAACTAGTGGGACTCTGTATTCTGGTGTGATGAGACCAAGATAAATGTTTTTGGAACTGATGGCTTCAAAACTGTATGGTGTTGCAAAGGTGAGGAGTACAAAGAAAAATGAATGGTGCCTACAGTGAAGCATGGTGGTGGTGGCAGTGGCCTACTGTGGGGCTGCGTGAGTGCTGCTGGTGTTTGGGAGCATTTCATTGGTGGTATCATGAATTTACAGATGTACTTCTCTATATTGAAACAGAAGATGATACAATCACTCCATGCCCTTGGTCGTCCTGCACTTTTCCAACATGGCAATGATCCAAAACACACATCTAAGGCCACTGTTGCATTTCTGAAGATGTGAACCCATTCGAACACCAATGGTGAATTCTGAAGAGATAAGTTGAGCATCACTCTCCATGCGGCATCCATGCTCTAAAAGAGGTCGTTCTTGAAGAATTGAAAAAGATCGATGTTGCAATATGTCACCAACTTGTTCATCCCATGTCTAGAAGATGGTGCTGTCCTTACAAATCATGGAGGTCATACAAAATACTAGATGTAGTAGTTTTTGTTGGGGGGTGTATTCCTTTTTGCATCATACTGAATCAGCATATGCTGAGCACTATATATATATATATATATATATATATATATACATATATATATATATATATATATATATATATTCTAATGCTGGTTTTTATTGAAAGTTTTAAAATGTGGCCTACTAAAAGTGCTTAAATACCATGTATGGAACTAATGCAATATTTTGATGTTTTTTTACTATCAAAAATAATACACATATTGACTTCTTTATTAAAAACTAACAGCAAGAAAAAATGACTGCACTGTGGAATGAATAATTTATAAACTAAACCCCAGCAGCCACTCTAAATACCCATGCACCCCACACTTGACACTGTACAACTAAAATAATCCAAAATAGCAGAGAGGTGCTATGTGAATATAACTTAAATTAGTCATACAATGCTCAACCTTAATGATAAATAATAAATCAATAATAACAACACTTTCATATAGGAGTCCCAAAAATATGTGACTTGCAAGTGAAAAAGTGCTCCAAAGAAAGTCCACACTGTGCTGTTCAGTAATCAATATTTTCTTGCTGCAGGTGATACTGTGTGTCCCTTTAAAATTCTAAACTCACCAGATGTCTTAGACCCTTTACCATGTAATTTGTCAGGAAAGCATTTGTTAAGCGAAAAAAAAGGTATCTGGAGACCAGTCTCAAGATACGGGACTCCCCATATCCACCTCATGGCTCCAATGCATTCATATGGGAAGAGAAAAGAAATACAGAAAACACCATCATTGTGCAAACAGTTTAGAAAATGTGTTTAAGCACAATATTACAGTGCCATAGACTGGCACCCAGCTTGTCTAGAAAAATCACAGCACCTGGTTGCCTAAAAAAAAAAAAAAATACACTCTGATTTTGATTTCTACATTAAAACCTCTCCAGTTCCTTCCTCTTAAACTGTGCCTTACTAAAGCTGCTTACATGATGTGCATTGAGTCTGAGCAATATATCTGCCTTTTTTGGGGGGGAAATAATACACTCTAATTTAATTTCCTAATCATAAACTCACCTGGTTTCTCCATCTTAAATAGTGGCCAAGTAAAAGTACGTATACGCTGTTGAGCAGGTCTGTACAATATTTTTGGTCTCTGAAATAATGCATTCTAATTTTTATTTAGAATTCGTAAGTTTTTTTTTATATAATTAAAGGTATAATTTTACTTCTAATGTAAGTTGTAATTTTTAACTTTGTGCTATTTAGAGCACAGGATGTATTTGCTTTCAGTCTGTCGAAGAGCTGCCTTTTTCATCCCAACCCCTCACTGTATCCCTAACCCCCCACCACCACCACCACACACACACACACACACAAACTAAAATACTGTGCCCCCAAAAAACCACAGACCCTCACCTCAGGTCACAAATTCACTGTGATGAAGGCCAACCCTAACATGACATGTTCAGTAGGGCAGGATAGTACTTCAAGTGCATTTTGGGTCACCTTCAGCCAGTGCTCCAGCTTGGACACCATATAGTTCATGAATGTGATTGCTAAAACAGTGTTCACCTAAAAAAATGCACAGCGTCACCACAGGATAATAAAATGCAGCTTCTCAGTCACAAATTTCCCCTGCTGTGGTGAAGGCCCTCTCAACGTAGATCTTGTACGCCTTGTTATTTTATTAAGGGAATTGCCTAAATTTAGTGTCAGATATGTAAATAATGGACATGCTTTAGTGCTCACAACTGTACCAGGGAAGTATGTGGTGATGTGTGATACACAAACAGCAGCTTTGCTTATCTTATGAACAAGTGGCAAACTAAGAGTTATGTCCTTTGGTTTTCTTCTTGCAGCTTTGCCTGTAGTGCGATGGACTCAAACACCTTGATGGAGGGGGCACTCCATTGCCCCTCACTAATAGAGGTGCCTGCACAGAGGTGCACAGCACCTGAGCACTAATGTATGTTGCTATGGTGTGTGCTGTCAAAAAAAGGTGCATGCACTACTTTGGGCCATGCTAACCCAATCATTTTGAATGGAAAACATATGTCTTCCATTTATTAGATTCTAGACATATGTTGATTTGTCTTCATGCACCTTACTTTGAGCAATCTACATTTTGAGTCCCCTATGTCCGCCCCCTAGACTGGATTTTACAGGTTACCACCACTTTAGTGCAAGTCCAATGTTTTTCTAAATATGATATGTACTTGTTCATATTATTATGTTATATGTAATTTGTGTATATATTTCTTGTTTTTTGTTTTTTTTTAAATATGTAGTAGTACTGTCTCCCTTTACAGAGAATCTACGGTCCTGAAGAAGCCATACGCATAGGTGAAACGCATTGACCATTATTAATTGTACAGTAATATTTTGATAATAGCATTTTCACAATATGGCGATGTGTACTACATACTATGTTAAGGGTTAAGCCAGGAATCATCTCCCTCTTTGATAGGGTGTCCTGGATGTTATCCCATCTTTTATCGTGTTTGTTATGGTCTTTGTACAAATAAAGTTGTAATTTTTAATATGATGGTTTGGTCTCTCAGTGTGCCTAAAAAAATCTGCTATTTTGGCTGTGCAATTCTTGTCTGGCATTTTTTTGTAACATACAGCTTAAATTCATCTCCTTAATGTGTAATAGAAAGGATTGGTATCTACCCATGTTGTTTCAAAGTCACATGAGGACCCTCTCTCCACTGTACTTCATTTTTAAACAATTATTTTTGCATTGATACCCAATGGTAGTGCCCAACTTCTCTTGCCCTTTATTTGATAATCCCTTGGCTATTAGATTTGAAAATATCTAGACTTGATTTTCAATATTTGCCCCCATGGACCTCCCCAATGGAGTGGGGTTTGGATTAAAGGTTGCAATTTTCTGACTTTGCAATAGATTCAATTAACATTGTGCAAACCGAACCTGGACACATACACTCATCCCTAGAAGACAATCCGGGAGGATAGATAACAGCACACCTGTAGGATATCAGCTATAGGAAATGTATGAGCTGTTATAAGTAAACTAAGTGTGACAATATATAAACTTAAAATTTGCATTATCAGTTGCAATCCTAAGTCCTTAACTCACAAGCAATTTCATAACATTCCTTTATTTCAGTATTGACTAAAAAGATGCAGAAAGTCTTGGATCATTGATCTCTATACATGTCACTTTTTCTCATGAGATAATTGGAAAACTGAGTGTGTACAAATCATACCTATATAGAGCAAGTATTTTCTTTGCTGCTAGTCTGCAATAGTTGAAAAAATTAAATCATACTGTAACACTGGAACGGTGTGAGTCAGAGATGAATGGGCTAATGTCCACATGGGACCTAGAAGCTGTTACTGTATGCTATGCAACTTTTCATGATTCATTCCTACTCATCAGAACAGAATCTCCTCCAGCACATGGCCAGATATTTTACTGAATAGAAACCTGACAAAGAAAATAACAATCTAGGAATTCACTTGATAGAGAAGTATTTTTAAAGACACCTCTGTGCCATCTCAAATACTAAGATTTATTGTATTTTATGCTGTACTTTTGTTTCAATTATGCAAATAACCACAATAAATTTCTCTGCAGACACAGAATATTTCATTTGAAGAACTGAAAAAATATATTAAACAAGAAGTTGTGCGATTATTTGAAGGTAAGAGAGACCAGGTAGAAAATATGAATATGTCATCTAAGCTAGCTATCATTACATCCCGAATTCACAGAGTTTCCTCTGTCTGCATTTTAGAAGCTTTTTTGTCATTCTAGTTTTGAGTTATTATAAACTATGTATTATATATTCTTCCATGTGTGCGTGTGTTTTTGCATTTTTCTCCTTTAGTTGAACATTATCACTTAGAACAATGAACAATGTGACATTGGTTATCCTACCTTTGGCAAAGGTCCAGCAGTGACAGTGTGACAGAAATGTAACTGCCGGCTCCTTCACTAGTTAAAACCCCATAGAATGCAGTGACGTGGTATCACCTCACAAATGTAGACATCAAGGGAGGGACACCATGCCAGAAAGAGTGTAAGTTGTTACCAGCAACAAACTAGATTGTGTGACATAATCCATATAGTTTCTAACAATGGTTTAAAAATACAAACTAAATATTGTAGGCACTAATGTTTAAATTACGGTAGTTACTTCTAAAGTAAAAAATGATTTAGGGAAACCATTGATTTTTTTTTACCTCTCTTTTTTACCTTTCTCCTTTTCCTTAAACGTAATTTCTAGTATTCACAGTATGGTGCCACACTGGGGACTGTACAACACAATTATCCTAATCCTTCACAATTAATTACCTACCTGTCAAGAAGAACCTGAAATATCATTTTAAAGTTCATCTGCATCAATGAACATGACATGACATATCAATACCAATTGAAAAGCAAACATATAATAGGTTTTCTAAAGGGAGGATGGTGTAAATTATAAAGTTAGATTAAACAATTAGGTTCAACAGTTTAAAGTTTAACAGATGTTTATTTTATTAATATAATAGATCAGGCTGCAGTTCTAGCAGCCTATCTGAATGTCTGTTAAAAAAAAAGTGTTTGGTGGGTTTAACACTTTGATTCTTTGTGAATCTAAAGATACAGTTGAAGCAAATAATGTAACTGCAAAATAACAGTATTTTAACAAACACATAACACATACATTTGTAATTTATTTACAGTATGTTTGTTGACCTTTTTTTATTGTACCATTAACCATATAGGCTTATCTGTATTATTATCCTTTGCATTGTACTGATGTACTGTTATCAGTTCAATGGTAATGATTTTTGGTTGTTC